AAGCAGCAGAATGTTGAGTTGAAATTATAAATTGAGTATAGTTGCCGGCTGATTTAAAAATTAATTTAATTAATAAATTCAATTTTTTATTTTATATATTTATTTTTTAATATTATTTCTTTTGTTTTCATTATTTTGAATTTTTTTTTTGGAATCTCCCCCGTTTAATTTTTATTTTGACCAATACATTTTTTTAAGTTTCTTATTTTGTTGTTTTATCTTTTAATTTTTTTTTGTATTTATTTTTACAATTTTTATTTTATAAATTTTTTTATTTTGAGATCTTTTTTTTATATTTTAAGTTTTTGCTTGCATTCATTATTTCAATAAAATAATTTTTAAATGTTTTGGTGTCTCTTATTTAAATTTTATTTTTATATTTATATTTTTAATTTAATTTTTTTTTTGTTTCATTCTTTTTAACTTTTTTAGCAATTTCCTCTATTTATTTGCTATTTTATTTAATAAATTTTTTTATTTTATTGCTTTTAAAATTTTTGTTTGTATTTATTTTCCAATTTTTATTTTATAAATATTTTTATTTTGATATTTAATTTTTCCATACTTTAGTTTTTCTTATTTAAACTTTTATTTTATATTTGCTTTTTTAAATATAATTTCTTTTTTGAAATTCTCTCATCCAAAATAATTTTTTTTATTTTTATTATTATTTTCACCTTTTTTTATTTCTCTAATTTTTTATTCTTGTTTTTATTTCTTTTAAATATTTTACTTGGATCATTTAAAAATACTTTTGTATTTCGAATTTTTATTTTCATTTTCTTTATGTTTATTTTTTATTTTATGTTTTTTTAACCTTGTTTTTTTTTAATTTAATTTTTTTTATCTAATTTTAGAAATAAATCTGTTGAATTTTAATTTTTTGTTACTTTTTTAATTTGATTATTATTTTCGATCTTTTATATGTATTCCTTTTTTAATTTTATTTCGTTTTCTTTAATAATTATATTTTATACATACAAAAATAATTTTATTAATTTTTGAATTTTTTTTATTTTCTTTATTTATGTTTTATTTCAAACTTTAATTTTTTCGCCCGCCTAAAGGTGCAGCATATATATATGAGACTCTGCTCATCATCAGTTGTAGGCGAATGGGTGCGTATGAGAAAAAAAATATCAACCAATTCAAAGTAGATGCAAACAGAATTGTGGAATGTGAGCCGAAACGCCACGCCGGAGCAAAGAAGGAGGCAAGTAAAAAAGGCGAAAGAAGATGCTACGACAACAACAAGTGGCTTACGTTCGCTCTACAGAAAGCATTGATAAAGCTATGATGCGCTAAGTAATAAGATGCTGGAAGGCTTAATACATTCAGACATACATACTTCAGACATATATATATGTTTCTGTATCTATATATGCATAACAAAGTATATGTGTTTGTACATAAATTTCAAGTTAAGTGTTATCAGTTTGTTTGTCGGCCCAACAGTGTTGGTACTTAATGAAGATGCAAGCAATTGATAGCGCTAGAGAACTACAACAACAACAAGTTAGTATTTATCTGATAATGCTGAGTTGTTGAGCTCCAATGAAAGTAAATTAAGCGGCCAAGCAGAGCATGACCAGCTTGTAGGTGTTCAGGTGCGCTTATATGGGCGCGTACAACGCAGTGAATTTATGTACATATAGATGTGTATATGTGTACATACGTGTGTATGCTTACTGATCGTCACGATCAAGTTGAGTCAGCTTAGTTTTGATGAAAGGCGGTCGGACGGCTGGGACAAATGTTTCATATCGCTTAACCAAACCTCAATTGATTTGCATAAAATATATACAGACATACTTATAACATACATATATACATGCATAAATTTATATGTTATTATTATTGTTGTTGTAAAAGATGTGTACAAATGTAAATGTGTGTAAAGGTTTTCTTGTTTTTTTTTTTTACATATTCCATGTTGTTGCCTTTGTTGTTGTTACCTGCATTGAATGCCCTCTTGTTGGCCCAACAAAGTCGTAAATGTCAACAAGCATTAACGGTGATATGTGACCGGACGCTAGCAGCCGGCCAACGTCAAATCAAAACGCAAATGCTGATAATTTCTTTGGTAAATAAGGAAAAGGCTTATAACAGTATGATAACAACAACAATAGGCACAAAACAAAGCCAAGGTAATAAAAGACCATATAAGAAATACATACATACATATATACATATATTAAAAACATTTTTTGGGCGTCACACAGTGCTGCGAGCGCCGTTGTAAATCAATTAAATGAGTCGCGTGTATGCAAACGGCAACAACAACAACAACAACAACGGCAACAGAGAAATAAGAAGCAGTGTAAAGTTATTTAGCCAACTAAGTGTGGTGGTAATAAAATGTTGCAACTTATGTGGCAAGTGTATGTATGTATATTCAATATGCAAATCATTGCGCGTATATATGTACATATGTGTAACTTACACACACACACGCACTGATTACTCTATTGCGGTACGCAAGCGCAAAATCGCTAAAGTGCTTCATTTTTTCACATTTCGCCTTTGGTTGTTGTTGATTTTTTCTTCATTTTAACGCTTACCTTTCGGCTTACTATTGGCCTGCAGACATCAAAAACACCTTCAATTGGCAAGTAAATTAATTTCACAGCAATTTACAACCTGCTTACAGCCTCATTCACCAATCAACACTTTACTTCCCATACTCGTATGTATGTATGTATGTATGTCTGACCACGCATGAAACGGCTTATCGATCCTTTTTATTAGGGATGCATTAAGCTGGTAGCTACGATCGGGCATAAAAAGCTTACAAGGCATATATGTACATACATATATGAATATGTATGCATGTGTATGTTCATAATCGCCTAAAGGTGTTTTAAAGGCTCTCAGTTTTCTTCCTCTTCTTCTTTTTTCCCTCCTCTTTCAAGCTGCCGTGTGATTCATTTATTAGCAATAAAAAAGAAATAACTATGATCCCATCACAATGGAAACTGGTTTACTGCTCTTAGCACTTATGATTGAGTTGATCCTCGCTTTTGCATAGGGAAATTCAAAAATTTATAATTTTTAGCTACTTTGTTGCAATGGGATTACAAGTAGATAAAATTATGAAAATTTTCAAATCATTTTAATAAGGAATTTTTAAACGTTTTTTTTTTTTGAATAATTAATATTAATTAGAGTACTACCCACCACTAGTAAAAGAAAATTAATTGCCAAATATATTTTCCATTCCATTTTGTGTTGTTTTAATCTGACAAAATCTCGAATTGGACAGTACAAATCTGGGTTTCGTTTATGTTTTCTTTCAGAATTTTCTTTAGTATTATATGTAACCTCAAAAAATATTCTCTGAAAATATGAAGTAATTCAGGAAAGGTACTTCGAGTTATTCACCAACCAATAAAACATGCACAGAAGGGGTGTTCTCAACATTTTTTTTTAACTGGTGGCCACTATAGCTCGAAAAACCTTCCGTAAATTGCATAAATAGAATTTTTTGCAGTTCGAAATCAGAGTGCTTGATTTAAGGATTTCTTGCTGTTAAATTAAATTTTATTTATAAATAAAATAAACAGGTTTTTATCTCAAAAATTTGGATGAAAATTTCTTCTAGACACTATTTTGACAATTTTTTTTTTTTGGATCACCACAAGCCATCACTTTTGGAGCTGAGTTAACCCAGACAGTTAGCGATATCTGTATTATAATTTATTATTATTTTTTTTATTTATTTTATTTTTTCTAATTTAATAAAGTTCTGATATGCTTAGTGCTCAAAGAGAAAAGAAATTAATATTATAATTTCTTTATGCCCCTGACTACCCGTAAGCACTTAAATTTATTGAAATATATGTACTGGGTTCATTTAGCAGTTGCGCATATATAGGTAAATAAAATGCATTTTAAAAATTTTTTGGATGAAATTCCATTTTGAAAATGAAATTTCAAGCCAGGCATTTTATGAAATACTTCATCATTTCAATGGCCGCCTTGTGAAATTTCGAAAATTTTGAACGGTTTGAGGAAATTTTCGACCACTTTCTGGTACATATTGGGCGGTAGCTCAAACATAACTTGATGGTTGTTGGGTATTAAGTGCTCAAAGGTTAAAAGTTTAACCGCATATACACGGTATTTCACGTAGCTCTACAAAGAAAAGAAATCCAACCGTGAATATGCGGTCGCAAAAAAGCCAAACTCGCTCATTTTGTGTGGCATGTGGCAGCTAGTTGAACCACATACCATGAAGAAGTGAAGGTTTCAAAGACTGTGGCACTGGACTATCCACTGTGAAATCTACCTAAACCCAAAACAGGAGAAACTACTTCTTTTTATGATAAAATACTGAAATCGCTCTGTAGAAACTTATCGACTTTTAAAGATGTTCATCTGAACTATTGATCCATCATTAATCACTAACAAATAAATCAAGACTTCTCTCTATGCAAAAGGCATGGGTTAGGGATAGTTTCTTAAACACAGGATCTAGTGAGATCTACGCTCCTTTATAGAACGGATGGTGGTGGAGCATATGCAAAATGAGACTTTAAATATAATTCTCAATATTCTGTCACTGGGGTTTATGGTATATCTCATGGTACTCTTATTCTAACAATCGATTTACTCCACCCTCTAAGTTGCAACTTAATTTTGTCCCTCTCTAAGCCTAATCAAACTGTATCTGGTGCTCCTAACACCGTAACGTATATAAAATCGAGCTGCCTCTTTGGAGCTCGCACTCTCAAGTATAGACATTCAAATCTCATCAATTGAAAGCCTTTAAACTCCAAAAGGAAAGGTGCCAATGAATTGCCCAAGCGCATATTAAAATATTTTCGATCAACATGCGAGTGCGAGGGAATTTGAAGGGACATTAAAACTCTGTTTTATATTTCGTAGTAATAGGAAATGTGTAATAAAAATGGGCACATAAAAATGCGATCACACTACTTATAAACACTTGCACACACACACACACATGCATACATATATGTATCTAAGATAATACTCACACATAACATGGATGCTCCGCGCAAGTAACGCCAGGCTTACAGATCTTGCCGTCACCAATCATGCCAGCCGGACAGCGGCCGCACCTCAGGCCCGCCATTGTCTCAAAACAGTCGACACCTGTGTGCGAGTGGTGTGAAGAAAATAAAAGTAAAAAATAATATAAAATGGTAACGAATTAACAATGACGAAGAAAACTGCAAACGGTAATAAAAATTGTAAGAAAATGTGATAAAATGTGAAATGGGCTTGCGCAACCAACACCTAAGCGCTTTGCTTAAATCTCAAACAAGCCAATGAGACGAGCTGCCCCCAAAGCAGCTGAATGCAATCAGCAAAATTAAAGTTGGCATTTGCCTTTTTGCTGCTGTTGCTGCTGCTCATCTCTGCTACTCACCGGGATAACAGGGATTCGATGTACGACAAGTCGGCTCGATGCGTAGATTGTTGTTGGCCGTCGGTTCCTTACAACCAGCACAGTTCTCTAGCAGCTTACGCAAGTAGGCGATCTCCTCGCGTTGGTGGGCTATATCTTCACGCAGCAATTTCACCAAAGCCATTAGGTCACTGATGGATTTTGCGAGGGCGTCTGCAATGAAGAAGAAGAAGAAGAAGAGTAAGAAGAATATGAAAAAAGCAAGAAACACATGTAGGAAAAATAATAAATACACATATGAATAATAATGTTTAATGTAGAAAAGCAGGGGGAACATATGCCACTAAAGCTTAGCGCAAATTAAGTCAGAGTTTGCAATAAACGAATGAGTAAGCTAACGAGTATGTGTGCTGAAGCCGCCAAATACAGCTTGTGGGTTGTACATGTTCGCAATGCCGACATTTAGGGCGTTTATAGCTTTTAGAATACCAGTAGGCAGCGGTGTAATGCTGTGTGCTAGATATAGAGATGTAACGAAGACGAGTTTGTAGGAACCGAAGGCGGGAATCGTAAAGACAATGGATTGTTTAATTATCGGGCTGTTATCGGGCTGAAAAGCCAGGTCTGCAGAGACTCCAATCAAAAACGTATCAGTCAGATTTGTAGCCTTAAGTTTAAGGGAAACAACATTCCCGAACTGTGACTTCAAAAATATAGATACACAAAGGCACCTACCACTCTGAGTTATTGTCATAGACTTAACAGAGACAATTTTGCAGCTTCAAAAGAAGTTCTTTTTTTGGTATCTTGAGCAGAAATAGTCAAGTATTCCTACTCCCGATTCAGAAATATAGGTTTCCGGGCACTTCCATCCCCGTAAGTTACTAACAGCGGTGCAGCAAACACAAACTCGCAGCAACCAAACTTCGAATCGACGTTATTAAGTCGGTTTTGGAGTGTTGAGTCGAAAATAACGCAAATATTTGTTTTTTAAATCAGGTGCAAAGAGCTTCGATCTAATTTTCGAGTTCCAAAGTAGTTCTAAAGGTGTTCTTTGCGGCACGAATCGAAGTCAAAAGGTGTCCAGATTTATCTCAATACTAAGAACGTAAAAATTCCAAGTCGCAGGACTCACTGACTTAAGCATTTTACAAAACCATTTAAATTTTCAGGCGGATACGACTATGTTAAGGCAAATGAGGAAAGTTCTTTACTGTTATTACAGAAACGATTATTTTACATATGGCTCAAGCAGCTCATGACTTCCGGTCTTGAACCAAGTAAATATCCTCTGGGCAGCCAACAAACATCCGTTTGAAAGAGGGCTAAAGTAAGAAGGCGAATCCCATACGGTTTTTGCGCTAGGACTGGGACCCAACACCCCCTAGCAAACATTTTAAGAGTCACGATTTAAAGGCTTGTACATAGAATGCCAGGTTCTTAATTCGGAAGGTGGCACTCCCATCGGCTTAATGTCCTAATGAGATTAAAGGCTAACATCACAGCCGTCCAATGGATGTGAGATATACCATAGCGGCTATATATGGTAGCAAATATTAGGTGTTGGATTTGTGGTGAAAGAGAGACGCCGTCGTGGAGTACTGGCTTTCACCGATGGATGAACGTCTCGGCGCAATATGCATCAAAACGAAATTTTATAACACCACACATATTTGCGCCCATGCCCCGTCTGAAGAGTAGAACGATGTGACCAAGGATGCCTTTTATGAACGGTTGTGCCGTGCTTATGAGCGCTGACAGCCGACATGATGTCAGAAAAGGGCAAAGAAGGCATCTTCTGTCAAAAAATTCACCCAACACGATGAAAACTTCCCAAATGAGTTAAGGCTGATCGACTTCGCAGTGATCCAAAGTATTTTTGTCTGTAGTACTAGATACCAGTACAAGAAAATTCACCAAGCTACTTTGCTATCTCCAAAGCGAAAAACTCTCAACCTGATCGATCATATTGTGATAGGCGGAAGACATGTATCTAGTGTGCGTACGTTCCAATATACTAATATATTGTCGCAGCGAAGATTCGTTCTGTTCTATGAACCATTCAACCTCTAAATACAGCGCATGCGCAACCGCATGTGGGCTAGTGGAAGCGCTGCATATGCAATCTACTCCCAGCAGCATCTGAGTTAAATACAATAATAAACAACAACAGTAAACAATAATAACACAGCGGTGTGACTCAAACACCAAAACAGATTCAGCGAATACGTGTACTTTGAATTGCCAACCACAATTCATACACTGCGAGTGCGCACAAATTCATTTGCGCTCACCAAGCAGCACTCGTTCACCACCCTTGTCGCTAACGTCGATTAACAGTGACAAGAACTACATCCAACAAAAGCATTCGCTGTATGTAACTAGAAGCTAATTGTAAGACTCAGAGAAACACATGCTCATTGCTGTCTTAGCTAACCTCGGTATCATATTGTGGGAGGTCGCCTTGGGCGAATGCAAATACAACTCCAGCGAAGGCTGTTTCGCATGTTGTTAACAAAGATTTTTGTGTTTTTTCCTTAGAAAATCTATGCAATTTACAAAAATAACAACAATAACATTGTAAGCTGAGCCCTATTGGTGCAAATATTGCGAAATTTTATCATTGTAAAAGATTTATATTGCCTTCAGGAGAGCTATGACTAGAGTCAACTAGGAGTTCCCAAAATTTTAATTTGATTGAGAGCTGTACCAAAAAGGTGAGAGTCATAGTTTCTGGCTAAGTAGAATAAAAAATAATAATCTAGTTTGGAAGGCAGTATTCTGTCGTGATGGGAAAATCTGAACCCCTATTTCTCTTAGAATATTTTAATTTGTTGGTAGTTTAACTCTTGATCTGGAGGCTAAAAGGATCGCCCTATGACAGGTAATAACCTGTTTGGAGATCATAATATAATATTAAAGCAGCATTAGGTAACTCCGTTTTTGTGGCCACACAACATCTACTACATTCCTAATTTTGTGTAGAATTCTAAAAATTTTATTATCCTCAAACTCAATATATCTGATTCAAGTTAGCTTTATCTGTACTTAGCTCGAACTCTACATTTCGCTTTCTCTCACTCTCTCTTACTCTCTTTGTTTCTCCCTCTTTGTTTCACTATATTTCTATCTCCCTCTCTCTATCTCTCTCACTCTCTTTCTCTCTCTCTCTATTTCTCTATTGTCTATTTCTCTCTCTCTCTTTCTTTCGCTCTGTCTTTGTTTCTCTCTCTCTCTATCTTTGTTTCTCTCTTTCTCTTTGTTTCTCTCTCTCTCTCTCTCTCTCTCTCTCTCTCTCTTTATTTCTCTCTATTTTTGTCTCTCTTTCACGCGACTAGAGCATAACTAATGGAGTGAAGAGAAGTTTAGATTTTTTGATTACCTGGGCATATAGGTATCGAAGGTAATGAGACCGCCGATGAACAGCCTATAAGCTTTCTAGTCGCATTCAAGGAAATAAAATATTAACAGGCAAGACTTTTGTACTGCCGACTATCGAAAATAAGTGTAGAGTACATGATGGGAGAAAAAAAACATTGCTGCTCTATGTGAATCTAGTGAAATGAGCTTCACGCGACGCATTGCATTGCATTTGTGCTTAAATTTGCTTAAATTTTCTTCCCGTCACTGGCGACTGTTTTCCTTCTTGGAACTAAACAATGATCTAGAGGCCCTGCACTCTGTGCGTATTGCACTTGAGTTCCCTTTCGGCTCCGTTGATATGAAAGAAATTGCTTGACAAGAGCAAGGTTGTAGACACAACCGAACTTTGGAAGCATATAGCTTCCCTAATAACATTACGAAGGTGGTATCGTAGATTTGAGACTCTCCTAAAAGTCAACTAGGTCAACCTAACCTGAATGCGTTCGTGGCTAGCAACTTGCATAACTTAGTCTGGCGGAGGACGAGTTCTGAGCAGGCCAACATCCAGGCGTCCTTTAGCAGAGAATGTCAATACTTTTAAAGTAAATATCTGGCATTAAATAAAGACATCTTCAAAAAATTCCATCAGACGCTCGAAAGAGGCTTAGAATTTTAACTGCAGATCCCTCCGTTTGCATCATCAATACATACACTAGTCATTGAAAGAGAAAATCGGTGCAAAAATGTTTCAGTGATTATAAAGCTCTAAATGCAAATCTAACCTCATAAAAGATACCACAATGCTTAGTAGCTTCAGACTATGCAGAAAATTGATTTGTAAGTGTTTCCTAAAAGCTTCTACTTTTGGAAAAGTAGACTATTCTTTATGCCTTTCGATGACCGAACCTCTAGAGGCTGTGAGATCACTTATGCATGAGCCGATGGACAAAAAACAGGACTTGGTTCAAAGGTTCAAGCTCATTAAAGCACACAACCGTATTTAATAATAATGAATTCTTTGAAATATTACACACGAATTTCTCTCAGTGTACGCCAAAGCCAAGAGTGGGCTTTGGATGTTAAATGAATTGACAGTTTCAAGAAGAATGCAAGCTGTTTATACTCCAGATATGCAAATGAGTTAAGACAAATTGATGGAGAGGTAACTAGAAAGCGAAAATACAGGAAGTGAAACACAATACATACATACAATCACAAAGAAAACTCGAATAAAACCAGTAATTAAGTATAAATTAACACTGATGGCTGTACAATGCATACGCACATACATACATACATACATATATTATTAGAAATAAAAGTATGTTTTTCAATAGATAAGAGAAGAATAATAAGTTAAGATAATAAAAATAAAAAAGGCGAGGCAAATAAATATATTTATGTAAAAAATTACTATTTTTTGTATAAAAAAATTGTGTATGTACATATATGTATACGTACATATGTATATCTTTCTTTGGCTAGAGTTTGCACCGCTTACCTTCGCAATCACCATGCATCATTGGTATATCGCCGCGTTGTTCGAAATCTAAAGGTAATTGCCTTTGCGTATAGCGCTCATAACTGTTATCCGAGTTGTAAAAATTGCGTACATCGCGTTTCTTATTTTTCTCTACAAAAAAAAATACAAGAAAATAACACAAACATTAAAAATAATAAAAATTTAAATATATATATATTTAATGTTTTAAAAAAATATATACATATATAATACCAGCATAAGTACAACTGTAAGTGCGAAAAATCTCACCTCGCTCCGTAGTCACCTTCGTTTTCAGTATACGTCGGTTACCACGCCGATTGAGTCCCTTCTGACAGTTGGCGCGCTGCAAAGCGCTCTCCAAGTTGCCATCGAAATGTAGGGGATATTTACGCTCACGGAACTAAAATGTCATAAACAACGAAATATTTTAAAAATAAGATTTTATATATGTATAATTTACGCTTTGTAACCGCTGGAACGATTTTCGGCCGATTATAATATATACTGTCTCATTTATTTATTCCCCGTCACTTCGCTCAACTCACCAATTTTATGACCGGATCATCCATTTGTATATATAATTTCGATAAATTCATATCGAGTTCATGCGCATCACTCTCTTTGCAATCGACCAGTAAAGCGATTCGATTTTTATGGAAATGTAATGCCAACGAGCGTATTGTACTCGTTTCATTTATATTCGGTATAATGAATTGTATCGATTCGGTAACGCCGCTGGCGCTTATGTCCAAGGTGACACGCTGTTCGCGTCGATCGAGAAAGAATGAGAATTTATGTTTCAGTGTGGGAAAGTCGATCATGAAGAGGGCCTCTATGGAGATGTGTAATTTACGACGAGGACTGTGGATGAAATGTCAAATGAAATAGTTTATATACAGATACATAAAGTAATAAGTTTATTAAATGGGGGTAAATTTAAATTGTTATAGTAATTTAACAAAAAAATAAAAATAAATAAATAAACAACTAATAGAAAAAATTAAATAAATTATCATAGAAAACCATAAAATAAAATAAACCAAAATGAATTAAATAAATTAACTTAACTAAAATCAGATAAGATAAAACACATACAAATAAACTAATTTATAATTAAATAAAACAACATAAAATGAAAATCAAAAGGAAAAATTGATTAGAACAAAAAAATATACATTAAACTAAATTAAAATTAAAATAAATTAAACAAAAATTGTAGCAAATATAAAAAAGGTGATGAAAAAAACTAAAAAATTAAATTCAACAAAAAAAATAAGTGATATTAAATTAATTTAAATTCAAGCAAGTAGAATAAAATAAACTGAAATTAAATTAAAATTAAATTTGATTAAATCCAAATGAAAAGATTTAAAAAAAAAGTTTTTATTATAAAATAATAGAAAATTTAGTAAAATGAAACAAAATTAAGAACCTAAATAAAAAGGATACAAAATAGAACACAAAAATAATAAAAAAAAAACTTAATAAAGGAAATTAGTATATGCTAAAAATTAATTAAATCAAACTCAATTAAATCATGAAAACTAAAACTAACTAAACAAAAAAAAACCTAAAATACATTAAACAAAATAAAGCAAAATGTAATAAATAAAAAAAAAAAACATAAAAATAAAATAAAACAAAACAAAAAAAATTTTAAGAAAATAATCATTAATTAAAATGAAAAAAAAATTATTATACAACGGTAATAAAATAATAATCATAAATCAAAATAAAAATAAAATAATTTAATTATATAACCGTAATAAAAAGCTAAACTATAAAATTATTAAAAAATTAAAAGAAAATTAAAACATAACAAAGTAAAACGAATTGAAGAATAAAACAAAATCTCGTAAATAAAAAATTGGAAATAAAATAAAACATAAACTAAATAGAATTAAGTGCTAAAAATTAAGAAAAATATAAATAAAATAAAATAGAAAAAATATAACAAAATAAAATGACAAAAAACAAAATAGAATAAAGTGAAAATAAGAATATATAGAAAATTAAACTTAAAAAATATAATATATTAAAATAAAAAATAAATTTTTATATTATAAAATTAAATTCAATTAAATAAAATGAAAAATGAAGTAAGCTAAAATGTAACTAAATTCATTTAAATAAAACAAAATAAAATAACTTTAAATGAAATTAAAACAAATTTGGTTAAATTATATTAAATGATATAAAATAAAATTGAATAAGAATAAACAAAAATTAAATAAATAAATTAACAAACTAAAAAATTAAATAAAATGAGATTAAAAAAAAGTTAAGCTAATATAAAATAGCAATTTAATAAAATCTGGATAGGTATAATACTCATATAGAAAGCTTTAAACCACCACAAACTTGCCACATATTGGTACTTTTTTCACCTTAACCTGCTTAACCTGACTCAACTCCAACCTATATACTCGTATGGAAGTAAAGTAATTATGAGTCACTTACCGTATATGCCGCATTGAAATGACGCAATCTCCTTTCTTGATATGCTGTTCCAGCTCCGCGGAGGCCACTGTACGAGAGCAAATAAAAAAATAATAATTATAATAAAAAATTTAAAGCAAATAATAACAAGAAGCATAAGTTTCTGTAAAAATTTCACCAAAACAATGTAAAATATTTGACAATCGAGGGAAGTTGTTAGTGGCAATATTTATTCGAAAATATTAAAAAAAAATGTCCCATAATATTAATTTTGTTAATATTGTTTTTTACACACCTGGATCAAGTGATAACGATGAAGCAACGTCAATCCACAATGATGCGGCGACCAAAATAAATAAATGCCGCCAATTCATTTTTTAAATTTCCAAATAAAACACACACAATTTGTCTGAAGTCTGCAATTTGTTGTGCTTGTTTTTACTGTTGTAGATCTCAAATACAATTATCTGTTCGACAGGAAATTTTGTTGTAAATTCGTAGTGTTTGCATATGTATGTTTGTGAGCATATATGCATAAGTGTTGGTAAGTTGACAATAAATATACTTTTTATCAGCGGCTTATCGAATATTCGTCGGCTGCAAAAATTTACAAAATAAACAAACTACAAATAAAATATACATAATTAAATGGGCATAACGAATTGCAAAAACAAAATTTACCGTAAGTGGAATTGACATAAGTGTAAATTTCTTTAACAAAAATGCTTTACATGTAAATATACTTAACTAAAACAAATAAAAATGAGGGAATGCGAATATTGAACATTTATATATAGACATATTTCAGTGCAAGTCTACTCAGAGTTATTATTTTCACATAGTTAAACTCATTTTAATTTATTTATTTACTATTTAATTAAAATTTAATTTTTTAATTCAATTATATAATATTTTAATTTCCCTTATTTTATTTTATTTATTTTTGTTTTTATATTTTAATTCATTTTGCACATTATTTTAATTAATTTCACATAAATATAGTATTTCGTTTTTTTAATTTATTATACTTTACTTTTTTCTAGGTTTTCAATTTATTATTTTTATATTATTTATATAATTTTATGTTTTATATTTTTTCCAAATTTAATACATTAGTTTTTTATTTGGTTTTAATTTGTTTTATTTTTTTTTCATTTCAAATTTATTTGTTTTATTAATTTTCTTCTTTTTTCTTTTTAATAAGTAAGTAATTTTTTTTATTGTATTTGTTTTATCTTATTTTGCTTTAAGTTATTTCATTTTTATAAAAATTTTTTTTAATATAATTTAAATTAATTACTTTAATTTTTGTATTTTTACATCATTTTATTGTAATTAACTTTGTTTATATTTGATTTTACTTAAATTCATTTTATTTTTCCAATTCACTCAATTTTTTAATTTTATTTCATTTAATAATTTTTTTTTAATTTTGCTGATTTTGTTGTTTTTTTTGATGTTATGTTATTTGATTTTTTTGCTTATTTATTTATTTTTTTATTTATTTTGTTTAAATAAAGTAAATTTTTTTAATTTATTTTGTCTTTTATTACATATTTTGTAGTCTCTTTTTTATTTATTATTTGAATTGGTTTCTCTTATTTTCTTTTTAAGTGCAATTTTTTAACTAAGAACATTTTTCACAATAATTTAGTTTATTTTATTTTATTTATTTGATTTAAATTAATTTTTTTAATACATTTTGTATTTTATTAGATATTTTTTTATTCTCTTTATTTTATTTGATTATAATTAATTTGTTTTAGTATTTTACTATTAACATATACAGTTTCATACGATAAAAATTAATTTTTTGTAATTATTTTATCTTATTTTATTTCATTTGTTTAATAAATTATATTTTCTTTTTTCTTTAGCTTTAATTAATTTTTATATTTAGTTTTATGTAATTTTAAAATCTTTTAATTTTTTTTCATTATACCTATGATATTATATTTAATTAAATTTTTATTTTGTTTTATTTTATTGATTTTTATTAATTTATAATTCCGTTTTAGTTTATTCCATTTTATTTTTTCGTTTGGCTTTATTTTATTTTAATATATTTTTTTCGTATTTTTTTCTTTTTTATTTTTATATTCATTTTTATTTTTTTTATTTAGTTTTAATTTTCGATTTATTACTTGAATTAGTTTTTCTGTTTTGTTTTTAGTGCAATTTTTTAACTAAGTCAATTTTTTCACAATGATACAAACGTATTATTTATTTATTTATTTTATTATTTTATTTTTATTTATTTTTGTATTTTATTCCTTATTTTATGATATTTGTTGTAAATTTATTATTTCATTTAATTTTATATTAATTTACTTATTTACTTTTAATTTTTTTCTCAATATATATTTTCATATTTTTATTTAATTGTCGTTTATTTGTTTTGACTTCATTTTTGTTTTTGTTGCTTTTATTTTTTTTTTTACCATATATTCCGTAATTTTTTATGCTTATTAAAACTCTTCTAGTTAGTGTCATCACAGCAAATTATACAGTAGCCAAATTCAATTGCTCATAGCCTTGGACACACACTAAAATTTATTATCATTTATGCGTTGACAGCCAAGTTGATAAAGCAAACAAAAATAATATTAAACTAAGTACAACAAAATCGTGCGTTTGGAAGCGTGTTAGGTACTCGTTACACCACAAAAGCCATTGTGGCAGTGGAGCAGAAATGTCATTGTGTGGAATGTCGCAAATAGACAAACCGGCAAATATAACCAAATTCAGTCAATAAATGTTGTTTTAGCCATAATTGAGTAGCGCACGACTGGCCAACAAATATGTCAACATACTTACATATTTACAACTCTTTGTAAATGATGATGAAAACCAGAGAAAAGAAAACAGAAAAAGTAAACATAATTTTTGTTTATGAAAAAGCCAAGAAATCGGTGGTAATATGCGAGAAGTTAGCAAAGGTGAACAAGTTTCTTAATTTGATGATGAAAGAGGAGAGCTCAAGAGGACTTTCTGTTGTTGTCCAGTAACATATTTCTCATAGTTGATGACCTCATCAGTTAAGGACAGTGAATTTAGCAAACCAAGTGGTTTTTAGTTTAATTTTCTCTGGCATCCCGAAGTCTTGAAAATAAAAAATTCATTTCAATCATTATTGAGTTAGAAAGTACATTCAGGTAGGTTCGCTTCACTTGATGTCTCCAATTCGGAGTGAAACGGATTCTAAGGTGCTTGATTAGAAATAGTCATATATCAGATATAATACCTGCCTTACGGGAAAGTGTTAAACAATCGCATTACTAAACAGAAGAAATGTAAACCAAAATGCATCAGTATGAAGCAGTGTGAATCTGAGCCCGCACTCACGGAACAAAAAGTTTAAGAGGAAACATTTTTCCAGCGTTATATATTCGTGAGCGCGCTGCAATGTGAACATACCCCCAATGACGGAAAACATCTTGTCTAAACGGCTCGGAGAGTTCTCTCCCAATTGTGATGGTGCTTTTTGTGTTGCTTCGCATATTATACGAAAATCGATTTTAGACATAAAATCTTCGATGTAGCTTATTTTCGTGCTGCTTTTAAATCCACGAAGAGGTGGTGTGTGTCGATCTTCTTTTCAAGGGTCTCTTCCAATATTTGAATAGCTCGGCCAGCAGTCCATCAGTCCCCGCCGCTTTGTTGATTATCACCTGACCGATTGCTATTCGAATATAATAATAAACTGAACATTGAAATACTCTGCAAGACATTGGAAATTCACCCAGGAAATATTTTCCACTCTAATAACAGTTCATATTCCTTGGCTAAAAGGTAACCTAGATGGTTTCATGCATAGGCAGAGTGTGGTTGCAGAGTGAGGGATTTCTACCGGATTTTCCGGTCTTAAGCACAAGGCAGGTTGATGATGGCAACTAAGATCCCCAGTCTGAGGACTAAATTTAATAATAGTTTTGATGGAGTGTATTATCAGACCTTTATAGAAGGCCAAGTAAGTTTCGTTTGACTTGAATCCTAAGCGTAGCTGTCCGCAGATTCTCTTCTTTAAAATTAATTAATTAAAATAGCATTGTTTTTAACGAAGATATGACTCAATTTCATTATTAAAATATTGCGAATCAACATTATGGTGTCTCTAAAATCATTCCGAAGAAGGGCAGGCCGCCGCAGCCGAGTGGTTAGCAGTTCCTGTTAACCTGAGCCAGATCATTATTCGAGTTTTGGTCAGACCAAAGTTGTAGAAAACTAATTCAAAACCGGTTTATTCTAACATAATTCCTTTAGCCGTTTAGTGGGGTTTAGAGTAAATTGTAGTGTCCTTCATTTGTTGGCAATATGTTGTGACAGATTTCGTAAATTCTAGGAGCTGCGGTCAGTAACCACTTTAGCGGTTATAAAGAGTCTGAAGCATCTAATCTCTTGCTTTATTTCATTTTATATGAAGTATTGCATCCTTTATCTCCCTTTTTCTCTTCCTAAAGACTTAATCTCTCATTAAGGGAAAAACTAGGTATACGCTCGCCTAAGCGCGTGATTGTTACATTAAAAAAGAGAGGAAAGGAAGAAGGTAAATTTATTTTTATAATTTGGAATTTACGCCTTACTCAAAATTAGATAAATTCAACATACTACTTATACAAAGATATATCAGTTGACTTGTGACAATGCAACATAGTTACATCAATGGTAGACCACTTTTATTCAGCCGCTGTGAGGCCAACAACCGACAACCGAAGAGTGGAAAATTGCACTAAGCGGCTTATCAAACCGCCACAAAGTGAGTTCAGTAGCTCACAGCGGGCCAACTGACAGCTGCGACGTCGCCACTGCAGTTGATGATGAGACGAAAGGAGTACTAAACCGACAAACGCAATGATTAAACGCATAAGAGAAGATGAAGATCGTTGGGTGATCAAGACAAACTGGGAAATGCACTGATTATAAGACAGCCAAATTTATTTTATTTTTTTTTATTTTGTATAACCAATTTTATATAACGCGTGTGCGAGGTATCTGCGTCACTGTTGACAAAGTAACGGAGATAAAAAGTGACACTTCAACTGTCATTGATCGGCTGTATTGATTACCCGATACCTTGCTTTAGTGCAATCTAAATGAGCCTAAGAAAGTTTACTTTGTTGCTTTAATAAAATTGTTAAAGTTACAAGAGAGAGAGAGAGAGGAGAGCGAATGAGAGGTAGAGGTAGAGAATGCAGGAGAGTGTTGTGGAGGAAGAGAAAAAAAGTAGTTTTGGAATTTTCTCAAATTTGTTTCTATTTTCACATGTCATTTTTTGTGTGGGTTGTAAAGAATTTCTTTAAGCTGTCATTTCCTGACTTCAATTTATCACAAAAACAACAATTAATAATAAGAAATTGAAAACTGGTAGCTTTACGCTGCCAATGACACAATCACAATGAAGCTTTGAAGCCGGTAGAAGTTATTGAGTTAATCCGTTTTTTTACATATAAAATTAGCTTACATACCATTTAAGTTCACTTTGGCTTGTATCACCTCTCTTGCCAAGCGGCTTAGCGACAGAAAACAGCTTTTTAAGCACAGAAATTGCCAGTCCGCATGAGATTGGCTTGATTGGCTTTTGTCCATAAAGGTACTGGGATTTATTCTTCTTGACAGTTTTATTCTTCAGCAAACAACAAATTATAACAATTACTTTATATGGTCGACTGGTTTGTCACTCTACTTAACAGGATTATATAAAATCAAGTTGAGCTCAAATTAACGTGAAGCTTGAAATAGAAAAACTTTAGTATTAGATAAGCAGTAAGTAACTGGCGTTCTTCTCAAAACCTTACTTGTAATGCCATGCACTTCGACTTGAGAGCTTTCTCTTGTTCAACGTTAACCCTTATAATATCAAATTTTCAATTTTAGAACTAACTTCGTAAGCCAAAAACAAAGAACAGCTTATACTTGAGCAGTTAAACATAAGTTTGCCATGCAAAAACAATTTCGTGAGCATTGGCAAATTCATCTCCATCATGCCTCATTCTAAAGAAGTAAGTTATAACGCGTCATCTTCTGCTTAATCTTGGATTGAGCAGAACAGATGCACACACGGTTTAACCCTCTGCAAGAGCATACAACTGTTTACGTAGGACAATGCCATTAAGTCCGTTAGTAAAAACCTCTATTCTTTTGAGCTTACTCTTCTCTCTCCCTCTCTAGACGTACGAATAGCAATATCTTAAGGTCACCAATCGTGATTGTTGTATTTTTTGTGACTGTAGGATAACAATTCTGATGAGCCGCCGCTAAAACTTTCATTAGATAAGACTCACGAAAGATCCATGACCCTTAACCTCTATGCCGGCGTGACCATTTCATTCTGACGCATCTTTTTCGGTAGTTTTCCAAGCTCTACCCTTTGGAAGTTGGTGAGAAAGCAATTATCTCCACTGAAGGAATTAAGTGTAGAGGAATCTAGCACCTTTTGGTCTCTCCGATTAACATTAAACAAATAGGAAAATGAAGAAAAGTTTCTGTTGACTCAACTATAACCACATAAGCGATACTTAAAAGAAAGAAAACAGAATACAAAAAGTATTCCATTTGGCTGAATTCACATACTAAGTTGTAACCTTGAGAACACGATATGTCGCCCTCAAAGTACATGATTCCGTGCTCGTTAATAGAAATTCCCTCGTGGGATTTCGGAATCAAAGTCCGGACTACCTGTGGACAGAGTATCTGCTCTGACTCCTCTCCCTTGCTTATGATTTACATACTCATATCAGTTTGGCAGAGCCAAACGAATCTGCTTTGATGCTCATAATATAAGAATAGATCGATGCAACACAAAGTAACCGAGTTTTAATGATATGGATGTGATCTTTTCACAGATCTGTTTTTTTAGTAGCCTGTGGGAAACTCTTCGCTTCCTTTATAAGAATGTTTCTTAAAAAATATTCCACTCTCAGTTCCAAAACTTCCATCAAATATAGGTTCTTTCGAACATCCACTATAACCCCGAAATACCAACCTTATGAATGTTTCTGAAAAAATACAAGAGAGATACCCAAAGCGAGAAGCTATTTTGGACGACAGTGCCTCGAGGAAAAATTTTAGTAGGTAAATGAACAATAAAAGATAGCTTCAGGTATTCCGCACTACAAATGCCCCATTTCTTAATTTTGGTTATTTCAAACCAATTGATATCACTTACTCTTATATAGCAACAAAAGTTCATAATTATCTACATTGCTTCATTAACATATGAACCAAACTTGAAGCAATTTCAAAGGTCCCTCACAGCCATACAGAATCTCCCACTCTACAGTCATGACATCACTTCCTGCGACACTGCACTCACTCGCCATTGCCACTGCATTCTGTACTTAAACCAGTGAATGGTAAATTGTTGACAATTTCATTTTTTCACATTTAATACCGTAACAAAATATTTTAAGCCGTATTAATGTCATAAAACAGAGTGTGCGAAGGTGGAAGGCAAACACCTACAACCAGACGTTACATATACTCATGTAGAAATACACACACATATATGTATGTATGTATGTATGCTTAATTCAATTGGGTATGAGTTAAATAAGTTATATGGATGAAGTGATTTTCTTTTTTTATGTTTACTTTCACAGTCAATATTAATAAATGATCGACATGACATTTTAATGCGATACTGCACTTATTTTGAAGAATTTCAATTAACACAAGTAGAGGTTGTCTAAACGTTAAATAGAAAGAAAATGCTTTTAGAAAGCGTTGACTTGGATGGAGACTCCTAGTATATTAATTAGAAATTTTTCTTATTTAATTAAATTTCATTTTATATAATTTCATTTATTTCTAAATAATTTTTACCTAATCACTTTAAAGTTGTTTTACTAATTTCACCTTCTTGTAGTAATTATATTTAATGAAAATGATAAATTTTATTTTTAATTATTCATATTATTTATTTTTTTTTATTTTATTGTTTTTTTTTTAACATTTTATTTTATTTATTTTTTTCTATATTTTTTTTATTTTTTATTTTATATAATTTTATTTCTTATTTTTTATTTAGTTTATTTTATTTTAATTATTTTTTCATTTTATTATTTTATTTCATTTCATTTTAATAGTTTATATATTATTTTTGTTTAAATTTTTTCTCATTTTTTCTTTCATTTTTTTTTTTTTTTTTTGAATTTTGTTTTCGTTTGTTTTATTTTATTACTTATATTCAAAAAAAATAAATATATATTTTTTAATTTTTATATTATTATTATATTTTTCCCCTATATTGGATTATTTTATAAAATAATATAATTTCTTTTTAGTTTTTTATATATTATAATGCTTTATATAATTTTATTTTATTTTGTTTTAATTCAATTTATTAAACTTTTATTAAATTTTAACTCTTTTTCTCATTAATTTATCAATTAAATTTATTTTTTTATTTTAATTTTGACTTTATTTAACTTAATTTGAATTAATATTATTTACGTGTATATACATAAATTTATTTTATTTCATTTATTATATTTATAATTGATAATTTTATTTATTTTATTTTATATGACTAAACATTATTTGTTTCATTTGTTTTTAATATGTAATTCCATTTTTATTTGTATTTTGTGTTACTATTTATTTAATTTGCTTTATCTTATATTATTCCATTTTTTTAATTTCTTTTATTTATTATATAATAACATATTTTATTTTACTGTGTTTCATATTAGTTAAATATGTCCTATTTTATTTTGTTTCGTTTATATTATTTTACTTAGTTTTATTTTATATTATTTTATTTTTCTTTGTTTTAATTTTTTAATTTATTTTAATTTATATTTTAATTTTTTTTACTTAATTTTAATTAACTCGATATTTTCACATATTTTAATTTTAATTGACTTCATTTTACTTTATTTTATTATCTTTGATATATCTATCTAAGAAGTTTTTGATATTATTATATTATATGAAGTTATTAGAACTCGGTTTATTTTGGTTAATTTACTTTGAATTTAAAAACAAAACAAAATTATTTTATTAAACATTATTTAATAATATTTTATAAGGCTTGCTATTTTTAATAGACTTTCGCATTTAATTAATATTTATTACCAACTCAAATGTTGAGTATTTTAGTAACAATCACTTCGCCAAACACTCGTTCTTAATATTACCCCAACCTCAAATACACAAGGTAAACACATAAACGCTTTCCGCCGCCCACTTACATTTTCCAATACTCGCACCGCGGCTTCGCACAACGATCACAACACAAGAACTTTACGGCCACTAAATTTTCTTACCGCAAGCACACGTATCTGCTCTAATTCACCGCGTGATCCAACGCGCAGGTCGTATGGCATAGGAATGATTAGCGCGATCAACGCGATCAGTGTTTTGGGTACGAGTGTGCAATTGTTGTCGCTGTCAAACGTCAACAACAAATGTTGCGATCGCTAGCTGCTGTTGCTGCTGTCGCTCCTGCCGCGCCGGTTGCTGTATGCTATCTGCTGTCGCAGTTGACAAAAGTGCTCACGGCGACTTTTTATGGCGATTGACGAGCGCGCCAGGTAGCCGCCAAGCAAACGGCACACCGCGTCGCGCATTCATGACAAGTACCCAAAATTCGTGTGGTTATGCACATGCACAGCGTGGCGTGTGAGCAAAGTGTAGCGCGCTGCCTTTTCAGTTGGGCACAAATGCGCATGCGTGTGGGTAGACGAGTTTTTCCGCAAGACAAATAGCTCGAGATACAGCAGCTGTATCAGCAACAACTCAAACGTGGCCGGTCATCGTTGCCGTTAGCGACAGCAAATGCAGCAACTATAGTCATCGTCATCGTCTCAGCGGAGACAACTGTGTTGTTGGCTGTCGTTGATCGTGTTTTGGTCGATAGGAAAATTCAAGCGGCGCTCCCGTCATTACATTTGTTTTGGCCAATATTGCATTAGGTTGCGATTGTTGCATGTTGTTTGTCTCACACGCTTCGTGTGTATCGAACTTGTTTGAAGCGCGATAAACAAAGCTACAATAACAATAAAATCGAAGTGATACATGTTACGGTGGCTTCTAGACAGTGGGCTTCGAATTGCTCATTAACTAAATAAAATTATACTTAGTATTGTTATTTGTATGAGTACTTCAGGCGGTATCTGGGTCTTCGAGTTGAACCTCATCCCCCGGAAATGAACCAAAGGACGACGTATTCAAAAATATCGCATCACTACATTCACAACTAATAGAAACTAAAATGTTTATATCTTGCAAGAAGGCTTTTAGTAGCCACTAACCCTTACTATCTTTCAGGCTTAAGTAGACGCCAAATGACTATCAAAAAGAATCTGTGATTAAAAGTTACTTACGGGAATGATAATTCATGTTAGCCATTATTTTTATTGGTTTATCATTTGATCATTTGCTTTGATCCACATTGATGTATTTTAACCCTTAAGTGATACCTTTAGCGCTTGAAACTTGTAAATGATATACCAACATTGGCTTGAATATTTCTCTTTGATGAAGTAACTAAATGGATAAAAAAATTAAATTTTGTTTCAAATATTATTTTCAGATATTTAAAATCAAAAACATCAATTGAAAATCTATTGCATCAAGTACATATTGAATACTAACATCGATGACCTTTTGGCATATTTCGAGCAGCTTCATAATTTCATCTGTATAAAACTTCTGTGGTTTATCTGCGAAAAATTTTACCAATCCATTTTGACATGAAGAGACTTTTGTAGACGCCAAACCAACGTTGATAGTCAAGCTGAGTAAATTATTTCCTGGTCATCCAAATCTAGCTGGTCTGCCGTTCTCATGATCAAACACAAAACCTTTTCAATTGATCAATCCTGAACGCTTTTTTAAGGGCTTGTTATAAGCCGGTTAATTATTGACAGTAAAGCTAAAATGTCAGGGCGTGTCATTATGGACAATTCTTTTCCAAGCATACCTTAACTCGGTATCACTATGTTTGCCATCAGATTTTGTGGTCATTTGATTATAATATTTTTATTTTTTTACTAATAAAAATGGGTCACTTTTGCCGCATTTCGAAAGCGTTTCACCGATAATAATTCGGTCAATAAGTTTTTGTTGCGCTTTTTTGTATGGCCAGTATTTTCAAATGATTGAAAGCCATCGTGCGAGGGATGCCTAATGCCCCTGTTTTCTTCTAACAGATAGCATGTCGATCAGGTTCAGACCGTAGGAGAATTTCATCGGCTTTTGGAGTAGCAAGCCGACCAGAAAGAGATTTATCCTTTGCTTTCAGCCTTCAAGACCAGAGAGAGATTTATCGTTTGCATTCAACCTTCAATAACAGAAGCAAACAAACCGCTCTTCACTTTCAGCACCTCAAGTAAAATCACTCAAGCTTATCAACACTATTAAAAATAAAAAAAATTAATTGAAAATATTTTGCTTCGAACTAGAATCTAAAGAATAATTATTATGAATTTGAATTTAGTTTTAAAGTAATCCAATTTAAGGTTAGAATTCTGATTCTGCTCTCTGAATTCGCCAGCCACAGATCATAAACCTTTTATTAATTTTATATATCCAGTGCTCTAATTTTTTCTCATCACGAAAAAAGAAGGCATACGAAAACTATCTCTCAAATCACACCCAACCAATCCCACTGTGCAATGGGCACTGTGAGAGCACATCAAACTTGTTAGACAGCCTGCTGGCAAGCAGCAACATTGTTTGTTGACGTTGAAATGCGATTATTTGCCTGCATGATATGTATGTAAGTTCGCTTGTACTGTTGTTGCGGCAACAATTTTGGCGCCTACGCATTGCGCACAAACAATTCAAACGACCAATCGACCAATAAGTTTTTCGTTGAAATTTAAAAAAAGAAATGAAAAATTAAGCGAAGAAAATTAATATCTTTCTCATAAATAAAGTTAAACCAAAGATAAAAACACAAATCTGCGGGATGGAGAATATAGCAACAACAAACAAAAAAACACTATAAGAAAATTTGTTGGAAAATAAATGAAATCGATGATTGCGTGCTTGACCAGTTAACGGTGCATATTTTTTCGGCCACAAAATCGATTACCTCGCGAAAGTGGAACAGAACAGATATTTCATTACAGAATTTGACGGGAGCGGTGGGGTGCATAAGCTGAGGGGTGGCAATGTGACAAATAAACTACAATGAACTAAATTGATTTTTTCATTAAGAATGCGAAGACAGATGAGATGTGATGAAGGAGCGATAAAGATTGACAAAAAAATTGTTTCACAAAATCGAAGAATTTTCCAAATATTTTATGTTTAGATTAACGTTAAATTAGAAGTATATTTCCAATCACAGACACATCATTGGAAAGTAGAAGCGAGTGCACTAAAACAGCACGCCGGACGTTTCCCCCAATCGGAGTTATTATGTAAAGCCAGGACTTCACCTATTGTTTTCTCACCGAGAATCTCTTCGTTTGCCTCCCCACCAGATATAATTGCATGTAAATCTTTCAAAACCGGAGTGTTTAGCTGGGCTCACACCGAAGAAGAACTGACTTCTAATGCCGTTACTTATCTTTTACAACCTTATGAACCTCGATCAGCTGATTGGGTGTTATTTCCAGTTAGACAAAACTGACGGTATTCGAAAAAATCCAAGATGCAAAAAATTACGTTTCCTTCTCATTACGGTATTAAACCTGCTATTTGTTGGTTGATATTGATAGTGGAATTCATATATATAGCAAGAGAATACTTAGAAACTGGAACTACAAGCAAAATAAAGGACAATGTGAATGTATAAGGTCCTTAGAAGACCAATCCTAACAAACAGAGCCTTGGTTTAGTGACCTTCTTTGGTTGATTACTAATTGATTTCAGATAAGCTTACTCTCTAAACATCACCAGTGTCGAAATGGGCTGCAAAGTGATGGCGGGGGTAAAACCAGAAAATCTCAAATACTGCCTCTATTTACGTCTATCAAAATCAGCTGGGACTCTCTTATCGATTGAGCAGGCCTGTATAACAATATGACTAACTAAGGGAAAATGTTGAGAGCAAACATATGCTCTGATTCTCTATTGACTCTACTGACTTTATCGTAGCCAATTATTAATTCAAGAATAGTGAACATATACAAGAAAGCTCTAAGATTTCTAGCAGATCATTATCTGTATCTCCGGTTATAGGATTACTTCCGGCAACGAAAAAGCTAGCTCGAAGCATCTATTGATGAATCTGAAGCGGAGATGAGAACAACCAAGAAAAAGCTTCAATTGCTATTCGAACAAATCAGAGTAAACAGATGGAAATCTATATTCAATTGTAAGATACCGCAATCAGATTTGGCTTAAGTATGGCAACAAAGTATGGGAGAAGAGTTCTTATGGACTAACGTACACTATAAAAGCTCGTTGACCCTCCTTTTATTGTTTTAAAACCTTCGGTCAGCACTTTTATCTGCATAACTACCTACCACCGCGGTATCCGCGCCCGAAAAGTAATGCTGAGATCTAGTCGCAGCGAGAAAGTTCTTGACTTAAACTTATTTATATGCACTGTGACATGAAATATCGCTTTGTATGTTTACCGCTGCTAAAGAATTTTGAAAAACAATGTAGGCTCAACTCGCTTAATCGGGTTTCGTTTTCTTCTGTGCTGCAGTAACCGAGTGGTTGGCATTCTACATTGCTATCCGGAAGGACCAACATTCAAAATCATAAATAAGAAAAATTTTGCAATTGCAGTCGTTCATCGGCAGGGAATGTCACGCCCTGCAACTGTAAATTTAACATCGGCCGTTCTGAGGCGACTTAAAATAAACTATAGATCCATCCATTTGTTAGAATACTAAAAAATAATTAAAAAAAATTTAATTTGATTGTACTTTAGTTGTTTTTATTAGAGATTTTTTTCATTGTATTTAATTTAATTATCTTTAATTTATTTCCTTATTTTATTTTATTTTATTTTATTTTATTTTATTTTATTTTATTTTATTTTATTTTATTTTATTTTATTTTATTTTATTTTATTTTATTTTATTTTATATAATTTTATTTTATTTTTTTTTTATTTTAATTTATTTTATTCTATTTTATTTTATATTATTTAATTTTATTTTATTTTATTATAATTTATTTTATTTTACTTCATTTTATGTTATTTTATTTAATTTTATTTTATTTTATATTTAAGGATGTTTCCCAAAATTTACCGAATTTGTCAAACCTAATTAAATATGCATTTACTTAATTTCTCTTAGAGGCAGGTGTATTAATTCTTTAATTAAAAATAATAATAAAAGAAATCTTTTCAAATGATAGTAAAAGTCCCAATAGTACAAACAACAATAAATCATGTGAACTATAGGCACAAAAGCAAATTGGTCTCATAAAAATTGTGTAAAAATGCGCAGACATTAAAACCCCGTCATCATAGAAAGGTAAACGAAGCGAGAGTAAACCTTTATGGACTTCATTAGTTAAACGCCCACCTTAC